AAATACTATTAATTGCAATTACTCTTCAATTCTATACGAATAGATGAGATGAGACGGTAATTAGTTTTACACTAACCACCCTACTCCCCTCATAAAAACCTCTCAGTCAAGTAGAAGAAAATAAGTGGCAGAGTAGAAGTATTTGGGTTTAATTGCCAAATGTTAGTGCTAGGAGTAGTAGTGTGAATAGTTGTATTATTACTAGTGTAGGGTGAGTAGTAGTAGTGGCACAAAAGGTAGTATTATGAATAGTGATTTGAGCACTAGTAGTAGTAGTGCTTGTAACCTGATAAGTAGTATTAGGAGCGTATGTAGTAGTAGTTTGTGAACAGCGATCTGAGCAGTAGTAGTAGTACTGTGAGTACTGCTACTAGTAGTTTGTGTGAGTAGTGGTAATGGTAGTAGTATTAGTGCGAGTAGTTGTAGTAGTAATAGTAGCAGCAGTGTGAGTATAAGTAATAGTACCGTCAGAAGTGTAATAGAAGTAGAAGTAGTAGTAGTAATCCTATTAGTAGTGTTGTTAGCAGAAGTACCTTTGTAAACCACGATTTCAGTAGTATTAGTAGAAGTGTGAGTAATATTCGTATTAGTAGTAAACACCTAACAACGCTTCTTGTATACGATAAGCAAGCCTAGTGACTACTTTTTAAAACTGGATGATAACTGAAGGTGAAATCAAAGTCTAAGTCACAGCAGGATTAGATCCAGCGACCTGCAGGTTTCCGCCCTACTGCTCTACCGACTGGCCTACCAGATTCAGCTGCTGACTATCAAGGCTTTTGTTTGACTGCCATTTGAATTCATGATGCGTTACTATTCATTCATCGCGTTCACACTGGCTGCTCAGTCAGGTTTTTTCATCCAAATCCAAATCATATGAATTAGACAGAAGGATCATCATGTTGATTATCAGTGTGACCATCTGAAATAGCCGTGGTTTAGTAGACACGATTTTGTTCTTTTTTTTGAATTTAGTCACTTTAGCAGTGATACTAGTAGTGCTCACCTTGTTCTATCGTTATATCTGCAGTTTATTTTGTCTACCACCAAGTCAGTGATTCTATTCCCACTTGAGTTTCAACCCAAGACATAATCAGTTTACTTGCCCTCCCAACTTCTTAGTTTAATGGATGATGTTCTAGCGTTTAAAAACCATCAGTGGTATGATCATTTTCAGTGGTAATAACATGATGCCATGAAATGAAAATTCTCCCAGTTGACGAGTTGCATATAGCACTCCTTCATGCACTCTACACTCAAATTAAGTGAGCAATGGGATCTCACAATATCTCAAAAAAAATGCACTTATCTTTACTAAGAATGGATAACGTGACTTCAGTTTACTATAATGTGGTAGCTGCGTAGACTCAATTTCATGCCTTAAAGTCAGTCGTCTCATAAATTATTCAACGACTAATTTGATGACTTTATCAATGAGAACTGTACATTTTATTAAGAAATTCGTAAGTAAACAAGAAAGTCAATAATAACAGCAATACGAATATGTATAATAGCGACAACACGAGTAGAAAGGAGTTCAAAGTCTCTATTGTGTTACCAAAGAAACAGGGCATATCAAAAATTTTACTTATCATTCTCATCATACCTGGAATTAGAGTGTAAGAGTAAGACTTGTGCACTGTGGTAGAATGTAATTCCATTTTTATTGACTCTTTAGACATACCATACAGTGTAACAGTATTGTTTACTGTTTACAATAAATTACGTCTGAAATGTAATCCAGTAAACAATACTGTTACACTGTAATCTATCTAACAAATCAATAAAAATAGGATTAGAGTAACATTTAAACGTACCAACTCACGTAGAGATAAACATTTCCGGCTTAAGCATCTGATAGATCCAATTAACCAAAAAATGAAGTCGACCGAATTCCATGTAGTGACTAGGAGATCAAGTACGTAGTTCAAACTAGCTGGTAGGAGTCAGATTAGCAAAACATTAAGATCTGGCTAAATATAGAATGACAGACCCTGTTGAGATTGATCATCTAGAAAAACAACACCTGCATTAACACACAACAAGGTTAGATAAAACAATGGTACTGATTATTTTATTGCCATTATTTTACCCTAGGGTTCCTAGTGCAACATAGGGCTTCATCAGCACGCCTCCATTCTACTCTCTTCTCTGCAGTCCCCTTAACCTGGCTCCACGACTGCCCATAAGCTTTCATTTCTTCCTCACATCATCTCCTCCATGTCACCCTTGACTCAGACGCCCTACTTGTCGTTTCCCCTTTAAATTCCATTCGACAGCCTGGCATGGCGCGTGATGTCCCCAGTCAGCCTTCTCAGTGTATGCCCAATCCATCTCCACTTTCTTCTGGATATTTGTTTGGCGATGGGTTCTTGGTTGGTTCGTTGGCAGAGTTCCTCCTTGCTTATTCTTTCCAACCATCTAATCTTCAGTATCGAGCGTGGGAGCCAGTTTTTGATGAATGTCTGTAGTTTGTTGGAAATGCTTTTCGTGACAAGCCATTGTACTCAGGTTCAGTATAATTAGGTAGAGAGAGGAGTGGTTGATTACTGAATCGCTGCGTATCGAATCATCAATGAATAAATGTTATATGAGTGACGTCATCCTTATACCAGAGATATGGGAAATTTTACTACAGGATTATAATTAGATATCGAAACCGGTAAGATTACATTGATAAGATTATGAGCACACACCCTGTGTGGTGTGTATCAAATAAACAAATCTAATATGGAATTAAATTCTACCACAGTGCCCAAGTTTTATGCTTATAATTATGTACATCTTTATGTTTCAGCAAAAGCATGAATTTTTCAGGATCACACTTTCTCTATATGAATGCGAATGAGTACTAAAACTTTTATCAGTGGATTTCTACCAGTTATCTCAAATCTTTGAACATCAAAGTGGACTATTTTAAGGTTTTTCTAATAGGTTAGACTTCCCTGTTTAAGGTTTCAACTCTAATTCATATTACTTAAGATGTCATTCCATTCTCTGATTACAGTAGATATCAGTTTTACACAAAAGTGCTTCTCTAAAGTGGTCAAGATTGCTTGTTAAGTTTTCGTATGGTGTAAGAGGCACAGTCTTGAACAGGCATTAATTGAAAGTTATTTGAAGATACATTTATTTCAGTGAATCATACCATCTGAGGTTGATGTTACTGACAATGAGTAATGACTGAAGAGGAACTAAAAATCTGAATACCTTCTGAACCTCACCCCACTGCTACAGCCTCTGAGTCAATAGGCTAATCCCCCCAACAGGTCGTAACTTCGACTTAATAAATGAAGGTTTTTTTTTATTGCTTGGGGATTCCTTGATGCATAACTGGCTTCCCAGCCACATTTTCTTGTCCAAATCCAAACCAGCAGTTGTATCTCGTAGCTCACTTCACCTTCAATCACCACCCATTATCGATTGTTAACCGAAATATTTTTCCCATTTTAGCCTGCTTATTAGAAAAATCACACAGTGAAGGAATAGTGTCATTCACTGGATAACGTTTCGGATACAATTTATTGTCCATATTCATATCAGGTAACTGACTCCATTGCGAGATCAAGTACATAGATCAAAGCAGTTGACCAGGATCAATTAGAATAACAGGGCACAAAAACTTAGCTAAATCAAGATTAGTAGATCTTAATAAAATAAGAAATCTAGAGAAAAGCTCAGCTATAACTCTACTATACATACGATGACACACAATCACACAACAGGGTGGGATAGGCCGACAGTGTTGAAAACTAAGTTAGTTGGATGGAGAGAGGGAAAGAATGATGACCAACTGAATCTTTGTTTATTGAATCAACACCAAATACATGCAATCTGAATGATTCTGCACCTGTCCGTGATATATGGAAAATTCTACTACCCTTGTCATCACAGAGAAAAAGAGAAAATTAGGAATATATAAAGTCTGTCTGGAAGTTGTGGAGTCTAATAACTGACGATAGACGATTTATGTGTTATAGTTCTGAAGAACTTCAACACAATAGCATATACTTACTTTATGCATCTGTTCATTCTGATAATAAAACATATTTTGCAACCAGGTGGAAATTTACACTACTTGAGGCTCAATTTATCCCTTGTAAAATTGCCTAACTGTGGTAAGCTAAATATCGTGGATGACAATAGACACTGATCAATTCGGTCCAATCAGCGACGATATAATACAAGCAATAACACTAAAACTATACCCGTCGCATAAAAAGTGGCTATTCTGGCTCGGTGGTGTAGTGGATAACCCTCTCGCTTTTCAAGGGAATGGCTTTGAGTTCGAATCCCGGTGGGAACAGCACGACTCACTAGTAGGCAGACATATCCAGTTGATGAGTCCCAAATAGGAGGAAATGCGCATCCTGTATTCTATTGCTAACCATTACCTGTCATTATAATAACCAATATTGTATTCTAATTTTTACACAAGAACTCTAAAAATATCAGAGAAAACGGAACATGCCATGCTAGGAAGAAGGTTCAGGGTGGCTAGACCAAAACTTGGAACCAGTTCATGAAGTCGGTTATCGTTAGTATGAGTTTTATGAGGAGATGTAGACTTCCTGGTTGGGATCCTCAATGTGAAAGGGAATACTGGTTGAGAACCCATGGTGACACTATTGAAAATCACTCACATTGGTGTAGATAAATTCACTCATCAACGTCTTTTGAAGCTTGGGTATTCGCACTTGCTTTCATCTTGAAACTGTTTATTCTCTCACTCAACTTCGTCTGCTTTAAAATGTCTTCCTATCCACCTATTCTTCGTATGATACTGTGAAGTGTAGCAACTTGAGCCGTTGCAGCTAGATGCGAGGTTTTACGTTGATTTTGTCAGTTAATCAAGCATATTGAATATCCTGAAGTTACCATGCAGCTGATAAGTCCAAGATAGGAAGAAACACGCGTCTTCCAATGCTATCTACCAAGCAGACTGTAATATATGAAACTGTTCACATAATTTTTCACTTACTCTTCCCTTTTTTGCTTAGGTAAATTTTCTGATCATGTTCATTACCATATTCATGTTACTTACAAAACTTCGTGGACAACCGAGTGGAATGGTGGGCAGACGAGTCCCAAGTGGCTATAAAAAGGCTGAAAAAAGAATGTCTCGTGGAGGATGCAGACCGATAATTTCTTCAACTCATCAAAGTGAAACAGGCAAGCCAGCGACATCGGTAACCCCAACAACAGGATTGATTAGATTCCCCCAACAATCCCAATTATCTGTAGACAAGGAGGAGATAAAGATAAATGACAATACCGAGAACAGATATGATAATGCGAAGAGTATTAACGAAACTACTAGCAAAAGAAATAACTCGGAGGATACCAAATACCTAAGCAGAGAAGAAGAACATATTGTGTTTGAAATATTACCGACCGTAGGACCAGTACAAGATACAATGACAACAGTCACAAGCGGAACAAGACAAAAATGCTTAAAACCTTCAATAAAAAGATTTACTAACTCAATAACTTCTACAAATAGACATATTGCTCCACCAAATCCAAGTATTTCAGAAATGCATCCAAAGAAAACACACATAACAATCACTAAACAAGATCAAAAGAGTTCAGAAGAAAAAATAACACGTATCATTTCTAATAGTATCAGTGGTAGCAGTAGTAATACTTATCCTAATAATGTTGGTGATAAAAAATGTACTGCAAATTCTTCTTTTAGACGTTCAACAACAGGTAGACAGTTAAAGAAGAGAAGTAGTGAAATTAGTTGTCTATCTACTTCTTCATTAAGTATAAAGGAGTTAAGGTGAGTGTTAGAATTTGAAAGTTTCTCTGAGTGTTATTGTTATTGAACATGTACTCTGTAAGTTATAACTGCCTAACACTTGAACTAGCCATTCAAAACTCCTTGAAGATGTAAGCTGTAATATAGAGAAATGTAGTTGTTGATGTTATAACTTATCACTTCCCATCGTTGATTGGACTGAACTGCTAGGCAGTTATTGACATATGGGCTTCAGTGCAGAGGCCTCGACATTCTCAGTGTTTTCATTTTAGATATTAACGATGAATATGGGTCAGCAGTGGGATCTGGAGCACACGTTTTATTCTATTCGAGACTCACTTGTCAGCTGGATGTACCTGTCTTTTAGAAAGGGATGTCGTTCACAGTATGACAAGGAGTGGTTATCGTAACTCACTGGTCAAGTGGGTAATACTGGGTGCTGAGTTAGAGTTTTGATGGGTTTCGTGATCAACCTGATACCACTGAGGAGTGTGGTCGGAAACCAATGGTCGACATTTTCCAACCTCCTGGATTTTACAACGGTTCTTCAAGTAATAATAGTCTGTGATGAATATTTATTTATACATATAATGCCTGCAATGATAGAGCATTACTAGTAGGATAAATTTTGTTTCTTGGTCAATGGGGTGCAGCATTTGAAACCTGTTCAGTTTGTCTGCCTCACACTGATTTTCCTGATTGTAACCCTAAGGCTCAATGGTAACACGCTCGTCAAAGAACCTTAGAGTTCTTGCTTTGATCCGTGAAGGGGGATATGGATAGACATCAATGAGAAGTCCCATACTAGGGCAAGCCAGCTGTTTAATCCTTCAAAGTTTTCAATGACTCTACAAGTGATGTCAGTCTATGATGAGTATCAGTTTGATTCCATTAGAAACTATATCAAAAAAAGGATTAGTATTTTTTAACTCCACCCTGGAGACCAGACATTTTTTCGTGAACACTTCAAAAAACAGCGCAATCCGTACCTAAAATCTGCAAGATAAAATATGTCTATGATGGAAGCGAATAACTTGGTTGTATTGTGTTCTCCGAGTTGGGTTGTTTACACTCGAAGCTTTCATCGTCCTTCTAGACGAGATAATCAGCACTAACTTGAGTATGAAGTGAGTTGTCAAGATTTCTCCATGAGTGATTCAGTAGCCTGCCTTGACATACATAAAGAATATATCAGAAATCACAAGAATACTGAGACCACTTGGAATTGGTGTGGCTCATACACCGACAAATTCTTTTCAAGTCACATTATGCAGACCAAATGAGGCGACAACCAAAGGAGACAAACCCAATACCATTTACAGAGTCAACTGCAATAATTGTCATCAATACTACATTGAACAAAGTGGTCATCCTCTTCGCCTTCGTTTACACGAACGCCAATTAGCTATTAAATGCCGCGACATTTCCTTTCTCGTCGCTTAGTGTACGTGGATAACCATAGACATGAATTCAATTTCGACAAGGATTTTTTGTCAGAAGAAACACAAAGAATACCGGAGAAGTCCTAGAGGCTTGGAATTCAGCTCAGTCAGCAATCAATAGATGTATGAACTCAATGTACCAACCAATGAGAAAAGTGATAAATGACAGAAAGGTCAGAGGTCAAGCAGAGGAACATTCAACACGAAAATCCACACAGTCAATAACACAACAACCAAAGGAAACAACCAATCACAAACCAGTTCGTCAAGGCAAGCTACTGAATCACTCAGGGAGAGATACTGATAGCTCACTTCACACTGAAGTTAGTGCTGATTATGTCGCTGTCTAGAAAGACAATGAAAGCTTCACGCTTAAACAACTCAGCTCAGAGAACACAATACAACCAAGACCGTTCACACGAGCTGGTTATGTTACCCACCATTTCAAACATTTTCTGTTTTTTTTTATTAGGAAAGCTGTAAAAGCCATCATCTTTTTAATGCCGTTATTGGGTTTCTCTCAGCTGATATTTTTGATTCCGTACAGTAAAGAATTTGGGAGAGTATTCGATTACATCAATGCTGTTGTACTTTCTACACAGGTAAGATTGCTTTTGTTTTTTTAGTAATATTGATACTGAGTGATGATTGTAGAGGAAATGAACATCTAAGCCTCAGCTAGATTCCGACCAGTAACATTCGAGTTACTATCTAGGTGCTCTTGTAACTGAATTACGGGATCCAGCTGCTCACAAGATGTCAACTTCAATCATCAACGAGTTTTGCCCAACTGCTATTTGAATTCATGAAATCTTACTATTTGTTCATTGTGTTCTCGCCAAGCAATGACTTCTCATCCCATTCAAAAGAAGTTGAGTTGGAAAGGTGGGGAGCATCATATTGATTATCAGCTTCACTACATGAAATAGCCGTCGTTTGGCCGACTTGTTTTTATACTGGTTAATGATTGAGGAGGAAATGAACATCTAGACTATAGCAGAATGTAACACTGGTCAATAAATACGTCATATGCCAAGAAGTAGTATATCACAGTGTCATATCACTTAAATTACTGGTCAAAATGTAAACATCATCGAAAGACAAATCATGATTGAGTACTTAGGAGTAGACTACTACACGAGTTATGTCATACATTTAATTCCCTTGACAAATTTGAACAATGAAAGGACAAAGACATTTAGAGAATAAAATGAGCTTATTTTATTTCATGGCCTTTCATGAGTTGCAAACAGCCTACAAGTGAAATGTAGTATTCGTAGTAATAATAACATAACATGCTTCAGACACGAAGAAATAAACAGAGATTTGAAATTCTGGATTAACAATAAGTCAAGGAAAGGTAGGATTATTAATTACATATCTTAGCGAAAATCTATAGCTACTGATATCTAATGGGATTGAAAATTCCGGAGCTTTGGAGTGGACGGAAGGCGAGACAACAAAAGAAAATCAGTGTCAAAGAAGGGAAGGTTTAAGGGCTAATGGATTACGTAATTACATGAAAAACCTGAAAATCAATAAATGATTAATATTCAGTAAGTAATTAATGAAGATATGGTGCAATCAAAAGGGAAGACTGTATACAAACATATCCCAAAACTTGTATACATTTACCAAGGTAAAGAAAGGTTAATTACAGCCTCCTTCTGAGTATATAGGTCAGATTGAAACTATTGGATAGCAACAGCTTCCGCAAATCGTGATAAACATGGTGTTTTTGTTTGTTGATTATCCTGCAGTACTGAGAAACATCTATTTGATGTCCTGCTTTCACCAGGTGCTCAGTGATTTCGCTGGTAAAGACCTTGCTACCTTTGTAACAGATTTCCCGGAATATGCTCACAAAATCGAGTTGGCATGCCCTTCTTTCTGTCCGTCCTATGTACTTACTTTTACAAGTACAAGCGAATTGGTATACGTAGTTGGAGATGGCATGAAATGGGCATTTGTCTACTTTCCAATGTGTTGTTGAGCATATTGTATTGTTAACTGAAATCAGTTTGACATCACAGAAGTTCCTTCTCAGTGCAGTTTCTGTTCTTCTGTCTATTCTTTTAGATGTTTTATCATCTTTGATTGCTAGACGGGGGAAAATAGGCTTATTCTCAGCAATTAGATGTTTTAGTCTCTCAATAAAATTCTGTTTCATGCTTCGTGATGAATTTCTTCGGATATCAATTCTCTGTCACAGCCACTGATGATTAGTTCATACGCCTGTATTACTCAAACCTTAAGAAACAGAAGTCTGTTAGAAGTGGTCAGTAGAAATGCAATGATTTTTGACATTTATTTGACAGATATTGATGTAGACACTTTCCATTTCTCTATAGTGCTTAAACATCGTAACTTTTCATAGAAAATGTAACTGTTTGTGATTTCTCTTAGTTGAATGGACCGAGTTGATTGATCACAATTTCATATAGGCTGTTGTATGGATGCTATGATGTTGATTGTAGCTTGGGTTTAATAGCAAAGTTAGATAGTGGATAACAGCGGAATTCAGGCAGAATATTTCTGCTTATTGCAGATCCGTCGGATGGATACACTTGCTTCAAAGTCAGTGATGATATTCCCACAAAGACTGGAACCTAGAACAGATTGCCTCAAACGTCATATTGTTATCCACTAGGCCATTGAGTCATGATTTCATTACTATAATCTTTGCTATTAAACTGAAACTATATGCAAAATTGAGGCATTATTATTAACGCTATCGTGTTTGACCAGACTTTCCTTCTGTCTACTCCATTTTTGCTCTCAAGTAAATTCATATCATTCTTTGTACTAATTATTCACTCGATACAACGCAACCTTGAACTCCATTATGATAATTCACTTGATTTTAGCTAGCAGAGAAATTCAGGAGACGTGTTTCATCGTGTATAGAACTTGTCAGCTGGATGTACCTGCACCCTAGCGAGTGATGTTGTCCCCAGTGAGACTCATACCACTTGCCCATATACCTATAGAAGTTGGATGATTTGATCCAGTTGAACAGCTGAGAACTATAAGTATATCAATCAACAGTAATACCCTGAACTTTACTATTAATGTACCTTCCCCATACGTCTGATCACCAATCAATTGACAAAGTTTACACTCAACTTATTGCCGAAATTGATATACACATATATAAATTACACTACCATTCACAATCCTAAAGAGTCAAATTTTACTCATAATTCCAAACCCATTCCTAAATGTATTCGATGTAAATTCTGGGTATGTGTTAGCGAAACTGATTTTATAACTGTCGAATCTGATGAGAAGTTATTGAAAAGAATATTCTTCGTTCATATTTAACTTTTAATTTATGAAATGGGGATTTTCAACTGTCTGAAGTTATCTATCAGTACAGTTTCAATCGAAATGAATAATGAGATAAAAGTGGGCGAGAGCGAATTAATATCACACTGAAACTGACTTCTTTCAACCTAGCAAAGAAACAAACTAGTACGCTTTGTCTTTCTGTATTTTGACTTGAACCACCAGTAACAACCAGACTGGTGGACATTTTCACAGTATAATCTACGTGTAAGCTAGAAATACAATGACCGGATTGTTACAAAAAGTTATAATTGTAATGAATTTCTTTGCACATGGAGCAGTTTAGGCATATAATGATTAATTGAATTTTGAGGGAGTTGTGGAGATTTGGAAATATTTCAAGTTGCTATTCATCGTAGACTGACATCAGTTGGAGGAATAAAGAAAACCTGGGAGCACTGGACAGCTGTTTCGTCCGACTAGTGTGGGACCCCTCAGCAGTGTGCACCCATGACTCCGCATCACCAGGGACCGAACCCACGACCTCCAGGTTCCGCGGCCAGCGCCTTACCATTGAGCCACTGTGTCGGTTGAATCCAATGCTCCATATTTCCACTTTCTGTTAGCTCACGATATAGCGCAACCGCCAGCCAATATCATCGTAAGCTAACAGAAGTTGAAAATGTGGAACACTGGATTCTTACCCAGTGGCCCAATGCTAACGCGCCCGCCAAGGAACCTGAAGATCGCGGATTCGATCCCTGGAGGGTGGGGTCGTGGGTGCGCACTGCTGAGGAGTCCCGTACTAGTCGGACGAAACAGCTATCCAGTTTTCTCAGGTTTCCTTTGTTCCTCCAACTGATGTCAGTCTACGGTGAATAACAACTTGAAATATAATGATTAAGTCTGTACTCAATTTTCATTCCATTTGATCTTTTCTATTTTACAGGGCTTCTGGGTTGCATTAATTTATTGTTTCCTAAATTCTGAGGTGAGTTTTTCTAATCTGTATATTTTTAGCATAATCTTTTGCCTTCATATATATATATATATATATATATATGTTGGTGATAAGATTGAAGTGTTGGGCGTTACGGTTCCCATCTATGAGCTGAAACTTTGCCTACTAAAACATTAGATTTACTCAGTAGTAACTTTTAGTCCATTCTATTTCCTTCGAATTATAAGTGGCAAAACTTGTTTGTACAGACAAATTATGCTTATGGTAATGATGGGATCTGGCTAGCAGTGGAATCCAGGATGCGCATTTCGTCCTATTTGGGACTCATCAGCTGGATGCACCAGCTTCCCAGTGAGTGGTGTTGTTCTTACCAGGACTCGGGAGCGATCGCTTCAGACACCAGCGCGTTATCCACTACACCACCGAGCCACAATAGACACCGTCGTCGAAATTATGCTTACTAATGGAAAATATAATGTGATTAAGGTTTCAAGTCAAGCCTTCATGTCTGTGAGTTATGAAAATACTTCGTTTAATTCAAGTTTTTTTATATGTTCCTGGACCTTTCTGACATATAAGATAATGATAGTGGGACTTAAATGTAGAAACAATAATTCAACTATAGCTGAATAACTTTTCAAAATGCTGGATGACTTCAGCCTTGATCGCACCAATCTCAAAATAGTTATGTTACTTTACTGCAAACGTATTCTTTGAAGCAACCCTGAAATTTGGCACTTACCTACCTATTTATCTCAATTTTTATCAATCTCCAGACCAAGCGTTGATGGAATACACACTCCAACATGACAAATCTCACCATGATTTCCTTTGAAAAGCAAAATTTTCAGATCATATACTGCTAACTGGCTTACGAACACTACTGATCAATTTCAGTGGCCGACTAGTACTACTCATTTCAGTAAATCAGTACTATGCTTCGTACCCTCATGCCTCAGTGGTCTGATGGATACCTCGTGGATAGCGCTTTGATAATAGAGGCGATGGGGTTCCAGTCTCAGTGGGGACAACATCGCTCACTAGGGTGCAGGTACAACCACTTATGTAGTCCCAAATAGAACAAAACGCACCTCCAAGAAATAACTACTTACTTACTTACTTACTTGCTTACTCACATACTCATTCTATTTGATCTCATTTGTTTGTGGTGATACATGCCATATTTAATTCATATTTTGTACGTATTAAAATTTTGAATATAAATATGAACAAACTACTAGAGAACAATAAAATTTAGCCCTTTATATCGAGATTAATAATTTTTGTGTTGAACAAGTGGAAAGATATTTTATTGGACTATGTACACGTCTTGTGTATAAGTTAAAAGCCATGCCAGAAACTGCTATGATGACCAAATAAGGTTTCAGTATTTCAGCTAGAAATGTGACTTCTCAATAAATAAAAAAACTTAATCAGATTTCTTAGTATTCGGTATTATTATTATTATTATTTTTCCCTTGGGGTCCTAATGGAAAATAGGGCTTCACTGACACGCCTTCATTCTACTCTCTTCTCTGCAGTCCTCCTAACCTGGCTCCACGACTGCCCACAAGCTTTCATTTCTTCCTCACATCATCTCCTCCATGTCAACCCCGCCTCGGAAGCCCAACTCGTCGTCTCCCCTTTGAATTCCAGTCGACGGCCTGGTCTGACGAGTGATGTCCCCAGTCACCCTTCTCAGTGTATGCCCAATCCATCTCCACTTTCTTCTGGATATTTGTTTGGCGATAGGTTCTTGGTTGGTTCGTTGGCAGAGTTCCTCCTTGCTTATTCTTTCCAACCATCTAATCTTCAGTATCGAGCGTGGGAGCCAGTTTTTGATGAATGTCTGTAGTTTGTTGGAAATATGGTAGTTGGTATGGTGACCTTTTAAATCACTGTATCTCTTATTGAAGATAGCAAGTCAGTTAACGGTGATGCAGAATACCTTGAACTTTGTCTATGTTGTTTGTTCTCATCAGTTGTAAACTTGACATAACATTGATTTCTCAAAACATGTGGTTAAGTTTCAGTCTGCTTTATTTCTCCAAGTTGAAATCTAGTGAGTAAATTCAGGCAAAACATAGCGGTAGTAAAGTGAAAAGAGCGTGGACCTGATGACCTTGGCCAGCTCACTGATATCCATGCTTTGGGCTTCGCTCATTAGTTATATCTGCTAGGCAATGACATTCGGGATGCTTTCAGTGAACTGTGCATTCAGCAAATGTGCTTAGGAGCCCTCATCCTTAGTGGGAAGTGCTCGTCGAAGTAGTTTTGTCAACTTCACAGCTAATACCAACTGGTCTTTATCTGCTCTAATTCTCTTGCTTCGGAACTGCTGCATCGCCAGCTCCCTGTCCGCTGCGATGTCAAACTCCCCCTCCAGCAGTTCAACCATTCTCTTCAAAGTGTATTACCTAGTCTCTTAAGCTTTTTTCAATTTGCTTTGAAAGCATTTTCAATAAACTTTTGTAGTTACCCCTTTTTATGGCAAATTATTCAATAAATTCTGCTCTTTGATTTAAAAAAAATTCCATTCTAATCACATAATGATCCAGTCTATTATTATCATTTTCTTGTTTCCTGTAATTTATCAGACAACAGTTAGAAATAAAATACTTTTTTTACCAGCAAACAGAGACATTCACTTCCAGTATTCAGTGGCAAATATCATACAAAAGTCTACTTTTATGGTTTATCTTTCCTGATATAAACCTACATCGGTTGATTATAAGCTAAAAATTACGTGTTACATCTAAATGTCATTTGTCGAACATTCAATCTCTCAAAATCAATATAAATTTGCGACTATTCTGAGTTTGACCAATACAATAGCTTAATTTCTAGCTGAGAATATCAAATTAAACCGACATCTTTGCCATCCTTAAAGTTTATGAACCAATCGATTCTCAAAACAGCTTAGAATGTCACTGTCATTGACTGAGTTGAAGAATCAAAGTGAATAACTGATATAAGATTTGTATTATGATTAGTTAAGTTATACCGATCTGCATTTCAAAAATATCACAGGTGTCAATAATTACAATGAGCTGATGTGGAAGATGCTTCATGTTGTAATTGGATTCATCAGCCCGACGCACATGCACACAAAGAGTGATCTCTACTCCACTGAGACTCCAACTCATTATCAATCACTTCAAAAACCATAGTATTACCTAATAAGTTACTGAGATAAAATAAGTTCCCTTCTTTCTTAATAGTTATCAATAAATAACGTTATAATAATTATTTGTACTTTGGGATCCGAATAGAATATACCACTACAGCAGCGCCGCCACAGTAAACTCTCGTCGCTGCAATCTTCTCAACCTGGCTCCACCACTCCCCACAAGCTCTCATTTCTTCCTCTCACGATCTACTCCTCATCACCCTCATCTTGCACATCCAACTCGTCGATTCTCATCTGCGTTACACTCGAGCAACCGGTCTGGCATGACGCGTGATGTCCCCAATCGGTCTTCTCAGTGTATGCCCAATCAAATCCATCTCCACTTCCTTCCAGTGCATATTTGTTCAGCCATAGCTTCTTGCTTCTTTGGTTCGTTGCCAGCCAGCCAACCAGCCAGCCAGCCAGCCAGCCAACCAGAATTCCTTCTTGCTTATTCTTATTATTCGGGCCACCTGAGCCTCAGTAATGAGCCAGCGTAGGCGGTAGTTGTTGATGAATGTCTGTAGTTTGTTGAAAATCCACTCAGTAACGCGCAATGTCTCTGAGCCATACCGAAGCACTGACTTGACTGACATTGGTAGTGTTGAAAATCCGAGTGTTGTTCCCACTTTGTGCTGAGTGCAGTTGATCTCTACACTGGTTTCCGCGTTAATCAAAACCTGTCTTGCTCTCTACCCGATCGTGGCTGGCTTCGACGTCCTCGTCCGTGCCTGTGACGTCTATAGTTGAAACAGTGCCGCCTAGATAGATGAGAGAGGCTCATTCGTTTAAGTTTCTCGCGTTGATGGTGATTGCAGCTTGTTGTTGTTGCTGGTGGTGGTGGTGGTGGTGGTGGTGTTGGTGTTGGTGTTGTTTGGGTATCCTCATCACCTCTGTCTTCTCTATATTCACTTGAAGTTCCATCTTCGCTGCCCTGCCTCCTCTGCCAACTTGTCAGTTTTCGTCTGTAGATATTCGAGTTTGTGTGACATTGGACAGAAGTCATCATCGGCGAAATCCAAATCTTCTAGGATCTTTTCCTCATTCCAGCTGGCGTATCCCCCTCTTCTCACAGCTCCTCACTGTTTGTTGCGTGATCCAGTCTACTACAATCAGGAATATCATAGGTGATAGTAGACAGTCTTGTTTTACTCCTGTATTCACTTCAGAAGCATCACTGAGCTTCCCATTATGAGTTAGTTGTCATGTGGCGTCTTCATATAGCTGCTGTTGAATGCGATTGATAAAGGTTTGTGGTATTCCGTAGTGTTGAAGCAACTGTCAAATTACTTGTTGGTCGACACTGTCGAAGGCTTTTTCAAAGTAGATGAAGTTGAGGTAGAGAGTTGACTGCTATGTTATACTGTGTTCTATGTTATCTAGTGTTTAATGTTCACTGAGCAGCATCATCGACTACAGTCAACTATCTTTGGTTAGTATAACCGTCGAAATTCGGGAAGAAATTTGTAAACTACACTTTTCCAATCTGAAGTGACAACTATTAGGGTAGTCGACTGTCATCATTCTCATTTAATTTTATTATAGCCTTTTGACAGGTAAAACTCTAGGTAGCTCCAACCTTTTGTGTATTCAGGGTCACTTTCCTATGAGACAAAGAGCATGTTTGTAAGCAGTAAGCACAGGTAAGTTGCAAAATGACATTTAAAGATGTCTATACTGACTCCCAACTTACATACGGGTAGTGAAGTGATGTAATTTATTGATCTATCTGTATAATTTATGGGTTGCGTCAGCCTTAATTAATTGGTTGCTGAGATAATTTCAGGTTGAAATCAAAAGACTAGTTCAACATCCGTCAACTTAGTATTTACTTAGCACCAGTGAGATATGTCACCATTTTTTTAAAGACAAGTATGCTGTGCAACCTTCCGGTCCATGTATTATTTGCCTGTAAGAAATAGGCTTCAAAGTAGAAGATAAGAAAGGAGGTTACAAATTTTTGACCAGCGATATCTGCATAGCACTGCTTGCATGTAGTGAAATCCTCAGATGACGTGTAGTGTAAAGTTGTAGGCAAAGAAGACACAATACCTTGTTCAAGTGTACATACTGAGATAACGCCTAACTCGATATGTGTAATGTTATCCAGAGTAGTAGTGGGTTGATACACTGATGAGATCAAAATGCGGTACCTGTTCATAAAACTTCCAAATGTTAAATTGTGTCTTGTATAGTAGCACAGGATGCCTAAAGATATCTAAACCAAGTTGGTATTTGACGGTTTGAAAAAATTTGGGCATCGGCTAAATGATATTCACTATCTTGGTATTTGTATTTCCCAATGAGAATGTAAAACAAAGGAAATTTGTCCCCAGTGATGTTTTGCTGTGCTTAATGCTGCTAATTGCCATATCAAAGTTGTAGTAAACGAGAATTTACAGTATGATAACTTGATGAGTATTCTGTATGAATGATTCTGAGTCATCAAAATTGTTGAATAAAGACGATATTCATATGTAGTGTGCTGTGCATGAATTACAGGTTGAGATTAGTATGTACACATGTATTGATTGATAGTTCTTACCCTATGTATGTTAGTTACGTCAGTAATATGGGGTAGGTTAAGACCAGGTCAAGTTATGATGTTTGATATCCCCTCATTCCTATCTAGACAATTCTAATTCCACCTAATGTGAAGACATTCTACCATGAGACCATCTTTATAGTTTCAAAATCATTTCTGTATAGTCTCGATATTATCTAAATCAATCTCGTGACCTGAAATTATAGCGTGTTGAGTTATGGTTGGAGTATTTTCTAGTTTTTTTCAGTTTCAATGGATTTCTAGAGGGTCGGTGGTACATCTTCACTGCTCGTCTTTTCTAAGTTTGATTTTACGGGAAGTCTATACTGTATGTATACTGCATCGCATTCTGAGCACTTTATTTTATGAATGCAGAGAAAGCTCATCCTCCAAATGGACTAAGGTGTTGTGCAATATGTTTGATGTTTTGTAGAACACTCCGATGATAATTGATTTGTTGACCACTCTTCTAATTTCATCTAATGTGTGTAATCTGCATGAGGTAGCTTATGTTCTGGCCCCTTGATTTAGGAGTCTTAAGATCTAATTCTATATTATTTCATCGGATTGTTATTCATTTTAAGTATCTTGCTCATACGTTTTAATTCCTTTATTCTTTCATTGTCTTCCGTTATTAAGGCGTGTACTCTCCTCAAAAGACTGAAGGGAATAGAAACATTTGCATTGATTAAATGTGATAAACTGAAACCAAAATGCATGTTCGAATTCATTGCTTTCCTGAAAATGATTATTCCTAAATGCCCATTTGTTTTCCGTTGAACAAGACAATCAAGGAAAGGCAGTTCGCTATTGTTCATTTCTTTTTCTAAGTTGAACGTGATACTGGATAATTGAAATTTCAGTTTATCTAAGAGTGGTATAAATTACGTTTTGAAATTATAAATATGTCATCTAAACACCTCCGGCAAATTTTCAGCTTTAGCAAGTAAGCGATGACACTCGCTTCGAATTTATTCATGATTACGTCAGCTACTATAGATGAAACTATAGAATCGTAGTCAACTCTCTACCTCAACTTCATCTACTTTGAAAAAGCCTTCGACAGTGTCGACCAACAAGTAATTTGACAGTTGCTTCAACACTACGGAATACCACAAACCTTTATCAATCGCATTCAACAGCAGCTATATGAAGACGCCACATGACAACTAACTCATAATGGGAAGCTCAGTGATGCTTCTGAAGTGAATACAGGAGTAAAACAAGACTGTCTACTATCACCTATGATATTCCTGATTGTAGTAGACTGGATCACGCAACAAACAGTGAGGAGCTGTGAGAAGAGGGGGATACGCCAGCTGGAATGAGGAAAAGATCCTAGAAGATTTGGATTTCGCCGATGATGACTTCTGTCCAATGTCACACAAACTCGAATATCTACAGACGAAAACTGACAAGTTGGCAGAGGAGGCAGGGCAGCGAAGATGGAACTTCAAGTGAATATAGAGAAGACAGAGGTGATGAGGATACCCAAACAACACCAACACCAACACCACCACCACCACCACCACCACCAGCAACAACAACAAGCTGCAATCACCATCAACGCGAGAAACTTAAACGAATGAGCCTCTCTCATCTATCTAGGCGGCACTGTTTCAACTATAGACGTCACAGGCACGGACGAGGACGTCGAAGCCAGCCACGATCGGGTAGAGAGCAAGACAGGTTTTGATTAACGCGGAAACCAGTGTAGAGATCAACTGCACTCAGCACAAAGTGGGAACAACACTCGGATTTTCAACACTACCAATGTCAGTCAAGTCAGTGCTTCGGTATGGCTCAGAGACATTGCGCGTTACTGAGTGGATTTTCAACAAACTACAGACATTCATCAACAACTACCGCCTACGCTGGCTCATTACTGAGGCTCAGGTGGCCCGAATAATAAGAATAAGCAAGAAGGAATTCTGGTTGGCTGGCTGGCTGGCTGGCTGGTTGGCTGGCTGGCAACGAACCAAAGAAGCAAGAAGCTATGGCTGAACAAATATGCACTGGAAGGAAGTGGAGATGGATTTGATTGGGCATACACTGAGAAGACCGATTGGGGACATCACGCGTCATGCCAGACCGGTTGCTCGAGTGTAACGCAGATGAGAATCGACGAGTTGGATGTGCAAGATGAGGGTGATGAGGAGTAGATCGTGAGAGGAAGAAATGAGAGCTTGTGGGGAGTGGTGGAGCCAGGTTGAGAAGATTGCAGCGACGAGAGTTTACTGTGGCGGTGCTGCTGAATTGGTATTTTCCATTAGGAACCCAAGAGACAAATAAATAAAATATTATGTGTGGATGAAACAGGTGAACTCACAGCAAGACCGTTAGTTTACCCTTATATTTTTCCATTAAATGTGAAATATGCAGTTTGTAAGCGAAATGTTATGGTCTTGTTGATGTTAATGTTATTCATTCTCAGAAACAGCAGCCACTGGATGTCTTTTTCGTCCCACTTTGGTTCTTCTCAATAGTCTCCACCCATGACCAAACAAACTGGCAGAATTATAAATTATGAACTTATGATTTCCATCCTAGTTTCTACATGCTTACGTGTTGGTTACGGTAGTGGAAAGTCTTATGTTCGGACCCTGGCAGGATGATGTTATATATGCTTATTATTGAGAAGTCGAGTACAAGGACAAATTAGTTGTCAAGTGCTTCTAGGTTTTTAATGGTTCTTCAAGTAATTTTGAGTCAGCGATGAAAATCATTTTTAACTCAAATATAAATCTGCACAAACCTTATTTTTGTTCACTAATAACTTGTTTTTTTAGAACTACCTGCTAGGGAGTGTTGTAACTCGAAACGATTCACTTCCGTACAAGGTTTTGTGTTGATGCTTCCGTCTATAAAAAGAGTATTCAAGTATAGGGGAAGATCTAACAGATTACTTTTGCTAAATTAAGCCTGAAATAAAGATGGAAAAATTGATGATTAATGCATAAAGATGTTACTTATTGAACCAATCTGTCTGATTAAGGAAGCATCACAGTACATTTTTTTGCAAGCAAATAAGTCATAAATCAAACAATATTATCCATATTAATCGATTGGAAGCAATAGGGTTGAAAACCTACTCTGTCTGAGTTTTGCACCTGTTGGCACTCGTCGATAAGACGCATATGAGATCTCCAAGTAACTGATACCCCCTTAGGGGCTCGGACCAGTGTCATCTATATTTCAACAGTTAATGAATTCCATACATTTAGTGGTGAATTTAACTAAAAATTTCATTTCTTATTCTCAGTTTATTTAACATAATAACACGATTATCATATTTTCTTCCTCTTAGGTTCAACGTGTCTTACGTACACGATGGCGTATCATATGCTCTACACTACACAGTCAATCATCAGAACGTGGTAGACAAAAACAATCTCTTACAATTGGTCCTATATCACAAAACAATTTTGACACAGAATACCAAAGACAATAACATAGATAACAATATGATTAAATTGTGATTTTCTGTTGTGCAAATCTACTCACAAATATGCTGTTTATGTAGAATAAATGGATATATGCATGTCAGACACTCTGCAAACATTTTATCCTACCTTTTAATTGCTTTCTTCGACAGTGGATAAAAGTTGAAGATGTCGAAATTGTTATTTCATTTTCACTTCACTTCACCCTCTACCCTTCCCACTCTAGCAAGTTATAATGAAATCAATGAAAACTCATCACCATTGTTTTCTCTTTCAGTTGAGATAAACAATTTTTAGTATTAAACTTTCATGGTAAAACTAGGAAATAAATAAAAAAAAGTTTCCTGAAAAATTGTCTATTGTTTCGTTCTGATTATTTCATCAAGTATTCAACTTCGTTCAGTACTAAGTATTAAATTTGAGTTAATAGTGTACTTTTACGAAACATTCTACTACAAATAACTTGAATACTTGGAAACTACTCAGGTTGATCACTGTGGTTAAGGCACAGCAAAGAGATCTCATCTGATAGTTGGTTTCTAACGGAAACCCTTTTAACACCAACTTTGGGTGGCATTGAAAATGTCAACGAGGACCGTACAATTTGTGAAAACATTTACTTTTGAGTATGATAGAAGGTGAATAGAGTCATTGTAGATCATTACGATTCATAACCTATGCCGACTATTTGTGTCTTTTATAAATGATCTATTTTACTCAAAAAGTTGAGTTTTTCAACCCTTTGAAATGTGTTTGCCTACGTAATCAACCAGTTGACACATAATATCAAATCAACGACTTCTGAAAGCAAAAGGGTATGTTACTCCTAGTGTGAACTGCGTTAGTTTGCAAATATATTGCTGTGAAACTACAGCTTCAGTAATCAGCAATATCAGATACTATTTGTAAAAGATCTTAGCTTTTGTTAACTATAGATATTAAGTTTAAACGGGAGGTTTATTCGATACAGAAATTGTTTGAAAAGGGATATTTGTTAACATTACTTAGTTTCTATTCAGTATTCATCTCTTCCCGGATTTGGAGGCACTGAACAGCTGTTTCGCCAAACTGTGGGAGTCCCAAGCAGTGTAAACCAATGATCGTTCCACAGCTTCAACTCAGGACCTTCAGGTTCTGTGGTCAGCTACTCGAAATTAAGTTACTGTTCAGTGCTCATTGGTGACTTCCTTCGAGATTAGGTTCCTGAAGTTCTTATGTGAATTTGTGACCAGCGGCGCAAACCGAATAGAATGTGAAGACAGTTACTCAACAACGAGGCTGGATGGAGGTGGTGCTATTCCAGTACTATGAAGTGGCTAAATGGTGAACGCGTTTGATCTCTGGAGGGGTCACTTGTGCGCACCTTTCAGGATTCCCATATTAGGATGAAACAGCAGTTCAGTGATCCCAGGTTTTCAATGGTTCTTTAACAGATATCAGAATGGGATGAGTACCAACCTGAAACTAATAAATAAATCCTCACAAACGTCCATATTAGATTAATATTAATTGAGATTTCATTCAACTTATTTTCTAGTCATCAGATGACCGCTGGGAATAAGGCTGCGAAAGTATTTTTAAAGTGAGAACTGACAATGACTGAACTTTCAAAATACTTGACAGCTGTTTCGTCAAAATATTGTACTGCATGTGTACTGCAAACTGTATCATGACGATGATAACTACGTAGTTTGGTAAACTGAAGGGCTGTCATTCAGTCAGTAAGTCAGAAGACAGTACAACAAAGTCGCTTACTGGGAGGCAGGTACATCCGGCTGAAAAGTTCAAAACAAGACAAAACGTGCATCGTGGATTCCAGTGCTAGCCACCATCCACCAATAATATCAAAGTTGAAACGACAAGCAATGCCGTGGCATCCATCGTCTCTTCAGCGAGACTGGAAATACTATCCATGTACCGTTAGTAGCCTCTGAACTGATGGACAGTTGATTTCAAGGACTTCAATTTCAATTAGGCTATCAGTATTGAATATAAGGTTAGATAGAGCTGTTCAAAAAGATTTGAATGACATCTTCTTTGTACAAGAGAAGTTCTAGACATTCATAAGGCCAATTCTGTACTCTGGGTAAATAAAAGTTTCGGCTAGTCTCCTCACTTACCATGCTATTAGTCTGATAACTTCCTGATTTTTGCTTACTGATTTTCTATCAAGATAGATTTTCATCCCTGTTTTTATAAACTGACTTTAGGGATTCATATATTTTCCACTTTTTCTCTTTGTTTCAGCTGTTATATAAGCATAGAGTTAAGCTGAGAAGTCTTAAAAACAATCCTCTTTGTTGATTACCATCCTTTCAATAGAAAATGGATAACATTTTAAGAAAGGCGTACTAGTTAATAACAACTCTATAACGAAGAGATGGATGTGAAGGTAACGTTTACTTTGAGAAAGACCATAGTTAATAAATTACGATGAAGATAGTCACCTTTTGCACTTCACGTTAAACAGCATAACTACAGAGGATTGGATCTTTGTAACGTTTGTAACGTTTTCTTCCTGCTAGAGATGAGCCTATTACAATACCTTGAAGAAACATCTTGCCAGCCCAAAAATAATGAAGTTAAGCAATCCAGGATTATAGTAATTGCTTGAGTTACCTTGAAAGTAGCCCAATAAATACAATTTTCCAATTATGCTCAGTGAATTGTCTTGATGTAGAAACAAGAAATTTTCAATGACGATACTTGAGGTAAAACGACTGTAGTTGACCGGCTGATCTTTACGTGTTATAGAAACCTAGGTGTATTAATCTCTTATTTATTGTCACGTAGTGAATATTCAGAAAGATGGATCTCTTGATTTGCTTTCTGGAAAACGATATATCTCCATTATTCAGTACTGTATATGTCGGTTGGCTCTGTAATCTACTGTTTAACACGGATTACTGCTGGTAAAAATGCTGAATTTATTGTGACAAACTTCTCATCGGTTAGAACTTCTAGCTGGAGGTAGAACAAGATTTAGATGCTAAACATTTGTTTGATCAGCTTTCTTTGAAAATACGAACCATTAGATCTCAACCCAGTGTCCCAATGACAATGTGCTGGCCACAAAAAATGAAGGTTGTGGGTTCAATACCTGGTGGGGTGAGGTCGAGCGTTTGCTTTGCTGAAGAGTCTCGCACCAGGATGAAACAGCTGTCTAGTGCCCTTAGGTTTACAGTGTTTCTCCAACAGATGTCAATCCATGAAGAATCCCAAACTGAAATCAATAAATTCTTCACAAGCCTTCAAACCACCAAACTGTTATTGTTATTATTTGTCCTTTAAGTTCCTAGCGGAACACAGGGTTTAGTAGCAAGTCAACATTTCACTGTCTTCTCTGGAGTTTTTTCAACCTGGCTGCACGACTGCCTACAAGCTTTCCTTTCCTCTTCACGCGATCTCCTCCATGTCATTACCCTCGGACGCCCAACTAGTCGTTTCCTATTCGGATACCATTCGATTGCCTGGCCTGGCGCATGATGTCCCCAAACTGTCTTCTCATTCTATGTCCAATCCAGTCTATCTGCACTTTCTTCCTCTGCATATTCGTTGGGCGGTAGGTTGTCACTCCATTAGTTTGTTGCCAAGCCAGAGTTCGTTGTTGCTTTTCGTAACGCTTCAAGTCTCTCAACCATCACATAGAAGCACTAACTTACTTGACTGAATTAATGTTAAAAATCCAGATGTTGTTCATGCTTTATGCTGAGTGCAGTGCAGTAGATCTCCACGCTGATTTCAGACTAATGAAGGCCCGTTCTACTGTGTTTTCGATCCTGGCTTTGATATCGTCATCTGTTCTCGTGACGCCTGCAGTTGAAACGATGCTGCCTAAGTAGGTGAATGACCAAACTATGTTAAAATAATAACATAGATACCTTCTCATTAATACTTACTCTTAGTACCACCTGATGCTTGTTACTTGTTCCAGTCATCTTGTTTTTCTAAATTGGCAGATAATGGAATATGTTTTATGACTAGATTGTTCTTTCCTGAAAGAATAAAGGTAATACTTCTTTTTAAAAAAATATATGCGATCGAAACATAAATCACTTTCATATGACGTTACTCCAGTTGAATTTTCTTAATGATGCGTTAGAGTCTACAAACAGTTATAACAAATATCAAAAAGGCACTAAACACTTTTCATTCCTATTCTGAAATAAAACTATGCTGCCTCCAGATACTCGTCATACTACCACCATTTCTTATTCTACTACTGGCACAAAAATTTATCATTGTCATTAACCACTTTTGCGTCTGAAGTATAAATACACACCATTGCCTACTGTATTCACCTAAATCATAGAGAAGAATATCACTTTGCTTTTCTGTTAGTATAACAGTTTTACACTTGGGTGATCGGTAATAACATTCAGTGATAAATGAAGTGGGTTTCAACTTATGTGAAGATATTACCAATCACTTTAGCGTGACAAGAGCAAACTTCTCTTTTCACTTTATCAGCTAAAACCCTGAATATGCCATCTTTGATCATTTTTCATCTTTTGATTTGCTCACTGATTATATTTCTCTGATTCACGCTCAGACTAATCAGTGTGTCTATTGAAAGAAACGTATGAGCGTTAGAAGTCAGTTCATCTTGATGTTGCTGTATCAATATTCAACTTTTTATAGACTTCAACTGGCAAACGTCTCACTGTCTTTCTGGATATTAACTTCAGAACCTTTTTGGAAATTGAAGTAACTAGTTTTGCATGAGTACTTTAAGAACGTGCCACTTTACTCGAATGTAATCTGATCACATGAGTGCATGCTGAACCTGATTGGTGGACTTCTTGCAGCTATGTGACTGGTTAATTTCTTCCTTTTGATTGTAGATATTGGGGTCTCTGTATTGTGACTGGCTCACCCTTTTCCTTCGAATGAATGACTGCTCGGCCGACACTGTGTGATTACAGGATTCCGTAACAATGTACATCCACGACATCTTCCAAGGTGTGAACAGGGACTGTCACTTTTAAACGAAAAACCGCTAGATAAG